TCTATCTACTCTTTACCCTCTTATCCCACTGCCGCCCTTTCACAACTTCTCACTTGTTTACATTCCAATCCTCAAAATATGTGCCTTTTTGTGGCAATTGAGTGAAATCGGTCAACCAGAAAGATAAGTGAACGTATCTACGCTACAAATGAGGGCAATCCCTTTGGTCAATTTTCTGTTCAACTGCTGTGACCTTACTTCTTGCCCATATTTTTCGTTCTACCTTTTAGTGCTGCCTCTCTTTTCCCCATACCCACTTCATACCGTCTGTCTACCTATTCATACAGTTTTGTGCTCTCGCGTCCTCCAATGTCGCCTAAGTGTGTCGGTGCAAGTGGATTTAGTGGAGCGTAATCATCTCCAACACCGGTCCCAGCTGCCGTTTACAGGGCTCCTGACCTACAATCTGCCCCCTATCCTATCCCGCTGATAAATATTTAGAGCAGATGATGCTCATGCCAGTACCTGGGAATCTCTCTTCCTAGGCTCCAAACCCATGACTCAACTCTTCTCTCCCCTATCCCCACCCACATTGTGTCGCTCTTTAGGGCTCTGTGCTCGGCTTAAGTCATAATCTCTAGTGTGAAAATGCACCGCCTCCCTTATTCCTTTTAATTAGTGGAAAGCACGTTCCTGTCGTCTTTCAAGTTGACACTCCCATCTGACCCTAGGATACTATGATGATGTTCATGTGCGTGTTTTGGTTGGTTGGTATCCCTCGTGTTGAGGCTTGTCACCAGTCCCTTCCCCTACATGCCTAGACACGAAAAATGCACACAATTACCCGCACATATACCCTGGTGATATATTTCTGGCCGATCTATATCTTTAGCCTTTAATTTCATATCCTACGTCTCTCAGGTAGACTCCCGGTTTACAATTTTTCAGCTGATTCCAGATTTGACTCCTCTCACTGCAATCGTCTTTTCTTGACTTCCTTTTGCCCCTCATGAGTCGCTCCTTGGTGATGTCTCCTTCTGTTGAAAAGTTGTCCTGGGTCTAAGCGTTTTCTTTTTTGATATATTCGCTGAATTTCCTAATCTTCTCAGGCAGTACGCGAAATTATCGCTGACTGTCTCTTCTTCCAATCTCCTGTTCATCAGGTTTCTTTGAAAGATGATGTCCACAGCCTCTGATATTCCATTTCCTGATGATTTCCCCAAATGAAGTCAGTCTTTCCATTTGCATTCTAACCAATTGTGTGGCCGGTAATGGCGATGTGTCCGATCTTTCCGTTTCCATTTTTCTGCATAGTCGTTGGTGTTTGATCCTTGCGCTGATTGTCCTTCTCGTCTCTGATGCATTTTTGTTTACAGTCCTTGCAGCTTATGCTGTAAAATACGGAGCACTACATTTTGTTATCTTCTTCATGTTGTGTGGGCAAGCTGGTGAAGAGGGTTGTCCTTTCCTTCAGAATTGTATGGATGTATACCATCGGCCGCAGCTTCCGAATCAGTCCGCAGGAGGGTAGACATATCCTTCGTTTTTCCTCTGTTCTTCTTGGTTTACTTTCATAATTTCTGTCCTTCCATCTGGCATCACTATTCTTATTTTCCGTTCTATTGCTTCTTATGGCACCTTCCACAAGGTCGAACCAACATTATAAGTCTAAATGAGATTGTGACCAAACGGAAGGCCACGCAATCTTAGTCTTCATCTCTACGATCTATTCACAAACCCTAGTCGTTTTCAGCTTAGTGCCTTGGTTCAGCCAAGTATTTTGTGATTTCGCTACTCGTAAATCCTTTTTTAACATTTTCAGGAAATATTATGTATGGCATGAGAGACATTTCTTATTGTAGACCAATGTTGTTGAACCCATCATTATACAACCATCAGTACCAACGATTTGATTAAACTAGACTATGAGACTATCCTTGATCAGTGTATGGAAATTTTGGTTGTATGAGGAATCAGGAGCATTCTCGTTACAAGATATGTGGGGGAATTTTTATGTTTATCCTTAATCTTTTAAACATAAATCAAACTGTACTACTGTTCTTTTATTTGCAGTACTATTTTCCTTATCTTGATTTTATCATTTAACCATATTCTTCTCTATAATGTCCCAAACCCCACTTCGCACACTGGTTCTGGATATTCCCCTACAAAGGCGACTATACAAGTTGTTTCAACACTTTCCACTGACCCATTTCCTTTGGGGAACGACGCCGGCTCGGAACAACATTCCTCAGAGCTAGTGACTAATATTCGTCTGGAGAGTGAAGCATGTTTGCCCCTCGAACTTATCGATAACGTGATTGCTACCACTAATATGACTTGTAACAGCAGCAGTTTGCACATTTGGTCAGATGACAAACAGGTCCTTGAGAGTCTGGGCGACAAAGTAATCACGCCAAATACCGGATTTCCTGCTTCAATCAAATCCGATCCAGCCATTTGTGATCCTGTTCACAATGGCTACATTCTTAGTACTGACATGGGTGCTGATGTTAGTCCCAACACTACTTGCTTCAATAACAGTTCCAATGTTAAAACCTGCATTGAGTCTACGCCCGATCGAACCAGTCTTATGGAATCGACTCTTAAGGAAGACGATGATTCACCTAAGGAGAATTTTCATGAAAAGACATCTTCCATGATTGCTGATAGCTCAGGACAACTTTTCCAGCTTAACAAGGGGCAGGAGAATCTTATCTATCTGGATAATCTTACTAATGTTGACAAGGTGCGGTTTATCTGGTCCAAATCATCCATCCTATTTTGGCTTACGCTATACACAATAATTAAACCTCATTATTATTAAGTATATATCTTAGGATTTTTATTTACTATGACGCTTTTCATAACTACACATTCTGAACTATCATAATATTTCATTAGGCAATATTCACAGGTTACTGAAAGTGATCAATTAGCAATGAATGGTCTGGCATAACTCTATATAAAATATATTCATTTTATTTCGTTTAAGGTAATGAAGGACTGTTTGTTCTTATTTTCGCAACTTGGTCACTTTGTCCGGAGTCCATAGTGTCCATGATAATTTCCAGAGTCGGGCCATGGACTTGGTACATTCCCAGACGTTTCGCCAGTATCGTCAATGAATCTTGCTATTTCCAGCACCAAACTACAACTCGTAAAAGAGAGAAGTGAAGTCGATCCTTTTGACCAATTGTCCGCTAAGCTGTTGTGATATCTCTCCTGTCCTGGGGTATTCACCGACCCTATATCTTCGTATCACCCCTTCAATATCACAATTTCTTACTTGGCTATCCAAAATCTATGATTATTCGTAGCATAAGACTAGCCGATATATATCATTGGGACAATGAACTGAATCGGCTTAGAATAATTTTCATTGAGAATAACTATCCCCTTGGCTTGATCGAAAATAACATTAGATTAA